GAAAATGCCCCATTAAGAAAAGTTTTCGTGTGTCCCGTGTCCCTGCCTCTAGAGTCCCTCTGACACCCCCACCACGCCTCGAGGAGCCCCGCTCGTCTGGAGGGTTTGCGAGGTTCGGCTCAGCTCTCCTGAGAAACCCCTGTGAACCAGGCTGTGGAGTCCCGGTTCAGGGGTAAACGCCCTGTCAGGCGCAGCAGCTCTTTCTGGCCAGAATTTGAGATGAAAATCCACCGATGGGAAGTGATTTGGAGTGGGGGAGGGGAGGGGCACGCCTCAGAGCTGTTCACCAGGAAACTTAAGCGTTTTGTTTTGTTCGCTATAGGTTTTCCATTCTGTTACCCTTTTTTCTTTAAAAGTATATTTTTATTGATTTTTAGAGAGAGAGGGAAGGAGAGGGGGAGAGAGAGAGAAACATTGATGAGAGAGAACCTCAATACCCATCAGCTGCCCCCTGCACGCCCCTGCTGGGGGTCAAGCCCACAACCCCTGACGGGGAATCGAACCCGAGACCTCCTGGTGCGCAGGTCCAGGCTCAACCACTAGGTCACACAGGCCGGGCACAGTATGTTGCTCTTGAAGCTTTTAAGGTACTTTCTTCTTCAACACAAATATTGCCCTCAGGCCTGGTCATGCGTCCTGTGAACCTGGCAGTGATGCGGTGAGCGCAGGGAGCCGAGTCCCTCGGGGCTCTGTCTGGCTCCGTATCTCCAGGTAAATCAAGTTAGCGGCTTTCTGAGCCTGTTCCTTCAAAGGGAACTGAGGTGACGGAACTCGGGAACTGCGTCCCGCCGGTCTGTTCCTGGCTCTTTCAGTGTCTCCTTTGTTTAGAGGACATCCTGGAAGGGTGGACGAAGGAGAGCTGGTCGCCCCCCCAGCTGGCCCCCCACTGTCCTGCACCCCTCCGCCAAGCCCCAGCTCCAGGGAACCTGGGCCCACCCTCCCCCGGGCCTCCTGGGCCCACATGATCGTCCAAATACATTTTTTAACCAAATCATAGTCATCTTCCCAAAATGAGTTCTTGGTGAATACAGTTTTCTTCCTCATCCCCTTACATTTTGTTTAAATGGTGGTGACATATACATAACATTACATTTATTATCTTAACCATTTAAACCTGCCCAGTTCGGTTCACTGAATACCAGTACATTCACGTTGCGGCAGCCCTCACTCCATCCAGGCCCAGCCGTTTCTCGTTGTTTCTCGTCTCCTGGGAAGAAGCTGTGTCCCCATGAAACTCCGACTCTCCTCCCCCCTCCCCTCGGCCCGGTAACCACTGCTCTTCTTTCCGTTCCTCTGAGCCTGTCTGTTCCCGCTGCCTCCCACTCGAGCTCATGCAGTGTCTCCCTTTTGTCCTCAGCATCGTGTCCTCAAGGGCCACCCGTGGTTAGCATGTGCCAGGATCCCCTTGCTTTTGAAGGCGGAGTGAGAATCCATTGTGTGTTTAGACTGCATTTGTCCATTCTCTCATCATTGGACACGTGGCGCATCCCCCCCGTTTGGCTGTTGGGAGTCCTGTAGCTGTGAGCATGGGGGAGCAGATCTCTCTCTGAGACCTTGCTGTCAGCTCCTGTGGACATGCACCCAGAGCTGGAATGGCTGGACGGTATGGCAGCTCTCGGTTTAATTTCTGGAGAATCAGCACCCTGTGCTGTATTGTGGCTGCACCGTTTCGCCTTCCCATCGACAGTGCGTGTGGACTCCAGTTTCTCCACGTCCTCACCAATGCTTGCTTTCCCTGCTTTTTAGGTTGTGGCCATCCCAGTAGGTGGGGGATAGTAGTATCTCCCTTTAAAAATTTCTCAGTGCCCAGCTAAGGCCGCCCCGGGGTAGAGGCTGAGGATAGGTAGCGGGTTGCTGGGTGGGGCATGACCCTGCCGTTTGTTAAGAATTATGGCACAGGTTCTCTGCTTCTCCATGGCGGGTATTTCCAGAGGCCTCCTGGGGTCTCCGGGGTGGAGGCTGGCGGGCGACAGGTAGGTGTGGAGCCCATTCCAGGGAATAGAAAACAAAACGATGCTGGCAGGGCGCCAGGTTGGACGCGAAGTCCATGGTTTGACGGGCTGTAGGTACTGGCCTCCCCTGAATGAACGTGTTGTGTGTGTGTGTCTCTGTTTTCTAGGCTCAGACCATGAATTACGT